GAGGAGGAAGAGGAGGTAGAGGAAGAAGAGGCTGATGATGGTGAGAAGAGTGAAGACGTGGAGGAGAAGGAGGAAAATGGTGGGGTAGGGGGAGTGGAAGATAAGTTTTTCAAGATAGATGAGTTGGAAGAGTATATGGAGTATGATGAAGCAAGGGAGTATGGATTGAAGGGAAAGACTAAAAAGATAAGAAGTAACAAGAAAAAGGAGGAGGAAGAGGAAGAGGAAGAAGATGGTGAAGAAGGTGACGAGGAGGACGAAGAGGAAGATGACGAGGTAAGAATTTGCTGATTTTGAAAATGAAGGCGGACTTTGTTTAGTCGTTTGGTGGTTCAGATATTTTGCCTGAGTTAATTATGATTGCAAGTAGATTGGTGACTGCAGATTTGCTCTTCTTTAATAAAGCATACATTTTTACCAGTATCTTGTTTTTGCAGCTTGGGTTAATGGGCCTCGGAGATGATGAAGATGAAGGTACAGAAATTGCCAGGTGTGTCTTTTCTCCATGTACTTATTGATCCTTTTAGTATTCTATGAAAAATAAAACATGAATTAGTTACCAAAGGTTGAGAAGAATTGGCAGTTTTGGTCTTAGCTCAATGATCTAAAGGGGATAGAAAAGCAATATGTCTCGGTCCATTTGACTAAAAGACACTTTAAATTCTTCTGGTTGTTTTTCAGGACTTGAGGATTGTCCATTAGGTAGTATCGTTGATGTGAATTAGGCAGAATAGATTTGGCTGTGAAGGGTGATTGAGTGAGATTTTGCATATTGCCTTAAACCGAGAAGGACTGGATAATACAATGTGATTAGGCTCTCTGCTCAAGCTCAAACATTGTCTTTATGTTGTCAGGATTTTCCTTGCAGATGCTGGGGTGTTCTTTCTGCCTCCCCAGCAATTGTATTCTATATTATGTCATTGTGACAGTTAACTAGTACTAGATTAGTGATTTCGGATGAACATGCTCTCTGGTTTGCTAATATCAGAGGAGCCTGTGCTTTCTTTCTCCCTCTATATTTCACTGATGTTCTAATCAGTGGTCATTGATGGTACAACCACTTAACATGTTTCAAAGTTTTATTTAAGTATCTGCAAGCACCAACTTTCTGAAATGGGCTGAAACCTTGCAGAATTACATTCCATATTTGTTGTTCTTAGCTTAATAATATGACACCCTGCACTTGTGCGATCACAGTTTCCTTCCACTATTTTTCACCCCTCACATGGAATGTCAATCACATTATACATGACAATGAGGTTTTAAACTAATGTTACCTGAAATATTGACACTTCTAATTTTCTCAAACTTTTCTTGATGATACACAGATATGAGGACTTTTTTGGTTCGAAAAAGGGTACTGGACAGAAGAAAACTGTTAAATCATCGGATCTATCAGATGACATGGGAACCGATGATGACATGATTGATGACAATCAGGTAGTATACTTTATGTCCTTTCAGTTGTAAAGTGTATGAAGATGAATGAGTAAGTGATCTATAAATGTTTCCTCTGTCTAATTTATTCTCTTCTTCTGTTTTAGAAGAAGCGAAGCCTTTCTACCCATGAAAAGGAGCTTGAAAAACTCCGATCTACAATTGAGGATATGGAGAAAGCAAACTTGGAAGAGAAGTCCTGGACTATGCAAGGAGAAGTAAGATCTCTATTTCATAATGCCCGTACTTGTTTTAAGTATCTTCTTGGAAGAAACACCTGTTCATGAATATAGAAGCCCAGATCCAAGATGAAAACCGAATTTTGGTTATTCCCGTACTCTCATTATAGATGCTGCTTACTATCTTCATAAATCTTTTCCTTTCTAATTGTTCCCTCTTCCTTTATATTTCCGTATCACTCATTCATCAACATGTATCAGATATATGTACCACATATGGCGTCTTCGGTTCTGTATGTTTGAATAATCTTTATTGTCAGGTTACTGCTGCAAAAAGGCCAAAGAATAGTGCATTGGAAGTTGATCTGGATTTTGAGCACAATGTGAGACCTGCCCCTGTAATCACTGAAGAGGTTACTGCAACACTTGAAGAAATAATTCAGAAACGTATCATTGAGGTGAATATTCTTTTCTTGCTGCTTACATATCTAATGTTATAAAACTTAAAAGAACAAAACCATAAGTAGGGTTCGAGGGTGGATTTCAGTGGCATAGACACATAAAGTGACGGTTAATAAGTTGAACACCCTTTATCGACAAATTAGTTTATAAGTATGGAATTATTCTTTAGAGAAGTGCTTGCTAGTAATTTCTTGGGGAATTTGGTTCACATGTAGAGATAGGCACGTGCGCTTAACTACAATTCTAGACTCTCGTTTAGAAAAATGCACTTGAAAAGAGTGTAACATTTTGTTGAAGTGTGAATATCTCATCTAAAAGTTTAACTTGTTAGAGAGAACACACTTTTATGTAGTTAATTATTTTCTCAACACGCCCCTCAGTGCGAGCCTGATCCTTCTTTTTTCATGGGTAAAGCACGTGGAAATTATAGAAGCTCCTTACACTTGTATGGCTTACTTTATCGGAAAGAATCTCCTTGCAGATGTTAGGATCATATCAGTGTTTGTTCTTTTGTTATTGGTCTATCTGTTCCTTTTCTTCTCTGGCACCCTAGCCAACATTTGAATCTGCATGAAACAAGGTGTAACCAGCAACTGACCCCAGCTTGTAACATATAGGGCCGATTTGATGATGTTCAGAAGCGTCCCAGCTTGCCATCCAGAGCACCACGAGAAACAAAAGAACTGGTAAATAACGTTTCTATATGTAAAAATATATACTTGTCCAATTAAGTGGATCCTATATCCTGATCTCAAGTGGATAGCTGTTACTAACAATGCTGTGATTTGATATTTCTTTTTGATTTATCAATTTGCAGGACGACAATAAAAGCAAAAAGGGACTTGGCGAAATTTATGAGGTTAGTGCTCCTTTATTCATGTTACTCGAGGAGACTGGTACTTTTGGCAGCAACTACTGCTGTAAATATGTGTACTCTAAATTCTTCATTCACGAACTTTCAAAAGAAAATCTGTTATCTTATTTGCCACTTTATTATATATTTTTGCAGGAGGAATATGTCCAGAAGACTGGCCTTGTGTCAACAGCATTATCCTTCTCAGATGAGCAGAAAAAAGAGGTGTTTAATCTCTCACCTATAATCCAGCCCTCTACTTTAAAGCAGGAGTGGTTCTTGTTCTTCTTAACTTTGTCATTTACCCCCCTGTATTTGCCTCGTCTTACATACCTGTCTTATGCATATGTCGGACTACTGGGTGCATTTTTTTTTTTCATGATTACTCTAGACTGAAAAATGTTATTGCTGTTTGAAAATTATGAGCAATGTAATAGAAAGTAATTGTTGGGTAATTGCGTTAACAAACTTCTATCAAATTACAGCATGTTAAGGGGAGGAAGAATTCTCTTTTAACTTCAAAAGTTTGGGTAGCGTGTGGAGTAGGGAAGGAAGGGATGAATCAGTCTTAATTGCTTTACTTGATTGCACCTTTAATTGAGTATGCTCTATTTTGAATGTCAATACAGGCCACAATGCTGTTTAAGAAACTGTGCTTGAAGTTGGATGCACTGTCTCATTTCCACTTCACTCCAAAACCGGTATGCTATAACAATGTACATTTGGTGTGATTTTCCCATCTCTAAACGGTTCGTCTCATGTTACTTCTCCATGACTCAACTTGGTTAGGTGATAGAAGATATGTCTATACAAGCAAATGTCCCTGCACTTGCCATGGAAGAGGTGAGTTGACCTGAATAAGTAGACAGTTCTTATTATCAAATCAACTTGCATAACTTCATTGTTGCTCAATTATATTTGCTGATATTGATTTGTTCTATGGTAGATTGCACCTATGGCGGTCTCTGATGCAGCTATGCTGGCTCCCGAGGAAGTATTTACTGGCAAAGGAGATGTTAAAGAAGAAACAGAGTTGACACAAGCAGAGAGAAAAAGGAGGAGGGCGAACAAGAAAAGGAAATTTAAAGGTGAGTTCTTTAGTAATGATATGCTCGCAAGGGTACTTTCCATGGTTGACTGTACAAAAACTGATGGTTGGGTAATTATTTTTGCAGCTGAGTCAGCAAAAAGAACAGTAAAGCCGGCACCAGAAAATACATTAACTAATGGCGTTGAGGGTAAGTTGTTTCTTTTATTCTTACCTTTGACGTCTTCCCTTGAATTTAAATAACTGAATTCTGTTGTGCCATTGTTTTACAGGTAATGATAAGTCATAAAAGTGAACCAAAACTGAACCGGAGTGGAGCTCTCATGCCTCCCTCGCTTAAATAGCGGTAACATTTTTTTGGCACCAAATGGTTTGTGTCCTTTCTCAGCCAGAGTGCGAGCTGAATGATTTGTGTTCAGCGCTCCATCCATATAGAAGACGACGATAATTACCATTGTGGCCTCATTACTGTGCTACTTTTGCATTTCAGGAAGTAAATGTCGTTGCCAGGCGAGAAAAATGAGTTGCTTCGTATGATAGGAAACTTCACTACAATGTAATGTATTTTTTTGATAGCAATTTGGTTGAAAAAAGAGTGTTGTTTCACAAGATAGAAGACTTCATTACGTTGTAATGTATTTTTATTAACAGCAATTCGGTGGTCTTAAGATTTTACAATGTAAAATATGGAACGTTTCACACAATATAAACCAATCAAAGAAATATGTGTTGGTTTAACTTGTTGGACGTCAAAAGCTCAGCATTCAAATTTCAATATGATAATGTAAGGTGCTAAATTGAGCATCTCAAAAGAGCTAGTAATGTACAGATAGTCTTTAGCTCGTCATACTGAGATTCTTTTTACACAAAGCATTCCAACTGGAGATGCACCAATAATGGCCAAAAAGAAAAGTCACCACTATGCTAAATCAACACAATTCTCGACAAAAGACACCTCTGATTTAAACTATATTTACCATAATATTGACAAATATGACAGGGATGAATAATAAATAAAATGTAATCCTCAAAAACAAAAAATAGTCTGGTTATTAACTATTTCTGCCATAATATTGACAAGGGAAGGAGATGATCCTGATAAAACACCATATCCTCTTCCATGTTTTTTGGTTATTTTTGTAACATCAAAATGTTGGTCCACGCTCTTTTCATGTATCTATGAAGAGCACAAACTATCAAAACAATCCTATAATGTAATACATAAAGGATTCCACTCTGAACGAAAAACATGAAGGCCAAATTAGCGAGCTTTACAGCTCCGTTGACAGGGAACAGGGCAGGAAAAGAGGGAATGTGGATTTTGTTATATCACCCATCATACAGGTGAAGAAAAGATCAGATTCTGGTTCATGTGGATTTAACATCACCTTTGTTTAAGTGCCCTTCAAGTCTCTCAATTGCGGCACCTACACCACCCTTAACTTCATTGCCATCAGTTGTCCCTGTCCCTTCATTGGCTTTCTCTACAAGCTTCAAATGAAGCCACCCTGTTAGAACAAATTTATTTTAGTAAAGCTGTAAGTTTATTTTTAATAAAGAAACAACATAGCCCACCCATAGGTTGTCCCTACTTCACATGATTCTTCATGCTTAAGGAATACATAAGTGCATGCGATACTCATAATTTGAAACCAGGCAGACTTAGCAGAGATGATAAGCTAAATCATCTAAAATGAACTGAAGTTACTAATTTATAAGTTTTAGTAGCATTAACAACACTGTAAGGTTAAGAACTTTGAGCAAGTAAAGAGCACTTTGATGGATTAATATTAATAAGCAGGTCACATTCTATTACCAAGAGGGAAGCAAACTGCAGCACCCAAAGCAGAACCCAACATCACATTTCTGGCACGCCATTGGAGTGATCCTGGCACTGAAGTCATAAAAACAAACAGTGAGTGGCGGAGGAGATAATCTGATAGAGGTTCTGATACCCAAACTCTACCACTTACTAATTAGACCAAATGTTGCAGCTGTAGCAGAACCAGCTCCAACAACATTATAAACATCATGCACACCACGCTTTTCAGCAAGCAAATTCTGCAATCCATAAAAAGCAGCAGTGAACATTCCAAGGCGTATTCCTCCAACTATTGAGCCCCGAGTGACTCGTATAAATCTTTTTTCCATGGCATCTCTCATGAGCCGATACTGTTCACGCTTATCTGCTGTGCTCCCAAGCTTTAACATCACCTCAGCATCCTTGCTCTGTTAAAAAAGGAGAAAGTCACATGAATACTAGAGGAACCATTCACGCAGAAAGAAAATAATTGCACGCTCTTTCCTTTGGGAAGAAAGGACTAGGGAAATCCTATTAATTGCAGCTTTCCTCCAGACCTCTGGGTAAACACAGCAGGAAATCAACCTTATATAGGTGGATGTATGTATTTATTTAGTTCTTTTTATTCTTGCTCAAGCTGGATGATTAAAAATTATCATGTCCAGTTACCTCGAGGGATGGTTCTTCTAATTAATAGATACATTCCGAAAAAATAGTAAAGGCAGCAGAATCTTTTTGCCCCCTTTTTGATGTAATTGCAAAAGAAGATACACATATACAAGGTTAACATGGTCATAAGTTCTGGGAGTTTCAAGAAAACCATGAGTTTTCTTCTGTTGTTTTTTTGAAAAACAATTCAAAATTTATTTGTACTTCTAAATATGTAGTTTGATTTCCCATTTACTGTTTAGACAATGTGACATTACTACTGTCCAAAGCTTCACAATTAGCATTTCCTCTCTCCAATTTCCTAAGTCAAAATGCAACAGCAGGTCTTCTGTTGTTTTTTTGAAAAACAATTCAAAATTTATTTGTACTTCTAAATATGTAGTTTGATTTCCCATTTACTGTTTAGACAATGTGACATTACTACTGTCCAAAGCTTCACAATTAGCATTTCCTCTCTCCAATTTCCTAAGTCAAAATGCAACAGCAGGAAATCAGTTAACGCGACATAATAGTTACATAGGGAAGGGTACTGACAACAGAAGCAGCAGCCTCCTTGCTACCTCCATAAAAAAGGCCAGCAAATACCCCAATTACAGTAGCAGTGCCCCAGTTTACAGTTCCTGCCATTTTCTGAGATCTCTGAAAAAAAAGATAACATACATAGAGAGGTAAATAAAAGTTTCAAACCAATAAGTTTAGCTAAGCAAAACCAAGATGAGTCAAATAAAGTAGTCCGACAGTTCCTCAATTCCCAACTGATTAGCATCACATATATAGATACCTCATAGTTTAGCTAGTTATACGCTGGTGTCAAACAACATCAACACTTCCCTTTATGGGATTTTGGATTGTTCTATACTTTGCACCCATAAGCTGAGTTACAAGGAAATAAACACTTCCGATTATAAAGGTTATCAATGGAACAGCATTGGCGGGGAATAGGAATAACAAGTAAGACAATTACAACAGCTAGCTGAACCAAACAGTATCTGGAACGGCAAATCCTTCAAAGAAGTAAAGATTAGAACTTAAAAACAATCATGACAAAAATCCCTAATTCCCAATCAAATAACCAACTCTTTTTGATTGCCTCAATGAAGAAATTGAAGTATTCCCTCAGTTTCAATTTGTTTGTGTTACTTACCTTTCTAGTCCATTTCAAAAACAATCCTTTTTAGCCCGTTCAAAAAATCTTTCCTTTTTGAGTGACTATTTAATTTAAACTTTTCACGTAGTATATTTGGATATTTTGGTACATTCTATGTATTTCTATCATGATTCAAAAGTCTTTCTCTCCTTTCTTAAAACTACATGTCAAGTCAAAATCACACAAACAAATTCGAACGGAGGGAGTGAGTTTTGGGAGTGGTGGTTTTTCGAGTAATTTCAGATTGGAGAATCCATCAGGTAGAAGATATTAACAAGAAAAACAGTAAGGAACAGTGACCTAATAGCTAGTTACTAAGTAATCATACACGAATTCAAATATAGAGAGATAAATGAAAAAAAAAAACTCACAGGTACCGTTTCTTCTTCAGTTATCTCTGAGGATTCCATTGATAATGGAGAAGACGCCTCTCTCTTTGTAATCGCAAATCAGACAATCGAGTAATTCATCTATGATTTCAGTCTCCCTTAGCTGAAAATAAGCCGACTTGGATGTTCGATTCGGGCTGAATATGTCGGGCCGGATCAGATCCGACCCTTTTTGATTTGGGTCAGGGAAATGGGCCTTGATCCGGGCCGAGCCTAATATCGCTTTGGTGGGCCGATTCAAGAATCGGTTAGTTTGGGGAAAATGTGTGGGAAACTTACCTAAATATCCCTAATTTTTTAAAAAAAATATTTACCATTTTAGTAATAACATTTTCTGTAATATATTTATAATATAATTTTAATACATATTACCAAGAATTATTTATCATCATATATAATACAAGTTTTATTAATGAATAATACATTTATCACATATTTTAATTCACTTATAATATAACGTGTCAATTTGTAACCAAACAAACATAATATATTTAAAACAACAGTTATAATACATATGTATTGGCTATTGCATACATAATTCACTTTAATTACATATTGCAGATTGATTATAACATTCTTGTGTATTGTTATAAATGGTAGAGATAAATAAAAAATATTGCTAAAATTAGCAATTATTTATTAAAGATATTCATCCAAGTAATTATTCCAAATATTTACATAATAAGAATTGAAATAATTTGTTGTATTTGTATATTTGTATATTTTTATGTTAAGGATTGTGATTATCGTTCTAGTATTAGTTGGTTAAATTTCTCTCTTATATGGATTCATTGTCATGGGAAGAATAGTCAAGTGTTTGTTTAGTTCCCTTCTTAACTAGACAAGTGATTAAGGTATTAGTTAGATGAGTGAATTTATGTAAAATACGCATATGGTATTAGTTATGTTGAAGGAATTACTGATTTATATGAACTTTTTGATCATTAAAGAGAATTTCCATTAAAAAAAAATTATCCGGTGTTCAGTATTCATATTGGAGCCCGACTAATTTAAATTCACGCCATGTAAAACTCTTTCAAGGAAAGAAAAGCGCTCCTTATCAAAGGTTTTCCATACTAACAATTTGAAATCGAGACCCGGAGGAAAAACTCACTAGCTTCACCATATTTGTTGGTGAAATAATTTTATTTTTGTCATACAAAGCATATACATACATGTCCAACAACAACTACAACTAGAACAACAATGAATTTATACTATTTCATAGATTTTATTAAAATAAATACAAAAGTGATATTGCACCTTAAAATAAAACTAATATATGTGAAGCCTAAGGCTAGGTAACTAGAAGCCTCTTCCTTTGCGGTTCATGGAAGTAAGAATGGTAAGTATAGCCATAGTTATAAATCCAGCCAGCAGCAGACCACTTGTAATATATCCCCTCTCTATGGTTTCTCCTCTTTTTATATCTTTAAATTCAAAGCTCACTCCAAATCCCAAACCAACAAAAATGCTATTACCTGCAATTACAATTCATTTCATTTGTCAAAATTATTAAAAATTTAACAAACTTCTGAGGGAATATATTCACCTTATCTCCGTAAAAGTCGAACATTGGGAGAAATTTGCCTCTAATCAATCTCTTCTCTTTTACTGCATGATACATTGCAAAAGGTAGCTGAATCAATGAGTATAAAATTCCACCAGCTGCGGCACCAAGCACATACCTATAGCTCTTGATACCGCGGAATTCGGATTTTATGCTGCCACGGAGCATAGTAAGAATTATTAACACAAGGGAAGCAGCACAGAACAAGAGAGTGAAAATCCTAAGAGCAAGAATTGTGTTGATTATAGACTTTGATGATGCCATTGTTATTTATTTCCCAACGGCATGTTCCTTTTATACATGTATGTAGACAGAAAGTTAATTATAAAATGATTGACAGATCGATATGGCCAAAGATTTTGTGTCCTAATATTAATAGTTTTTTAAGGTCATTGTACATAGCCGGACGAGAATGTCTCAGTGAGTACAATCCTTTTCTAAGTCAAACGGCCGGCCGACACACAATACATTATAGTAATAATAGTACAACGTAACCTGTAAGAGTGACTGAGTTGGTGTAGCAGGTGCTTATAACTTCTAAGTCGAGCTCGTCCCACCATAAAATTATCTTAAACAAAAATATAATGGTTTAATTTTAAAAAGGAAAGACAGCACTACTTAATGTTTCATACATAAATCAATTATAATGGCCCAACATGCACAAAAGCTAGCTTGGGGTCAATCACCATCACTATGATCCTTATTCTAAATTAAACTTCACCATAAAGCAATCCAACACACAAACAACATCATATCCCTCAAAATTTCTACCAGTCTGCAGTGCCTAAAAGCAAATTAAAGCAAACAGAAAAGCTAAAAAGTTACCCAAATCTTCTTAAAGAAACCAGAATGGCCTCACCATAAAAGTAGAAATCCCCTGTAACATATTCAACTCACCATGTGAATAAAGTTTGACGTAAGTCGTGATTTTCACTAATATCTAATATATATATACTCTTATATAAAATATTTTTATGCTTTAGAATCGGAATGAACCCCTTACCCCCGTAGCTCCGCAACAGGTCCCACCCCATAAATCATGCAGTCTAACTTAGCTCTGTTAATGAAGTATCACCATTTTCTTAGCATACCAAGCAAAGTATCTATCAACTTTTTCTTTTTTCTGAAGTAAAAAAATATATTTTTGTTATCATTCAAAACACTACTCTGTTTTTCTCCCTTTGAGACCCATTATACTTCCTCCCATTTCTTCTTCCTTCTCAGCCATGGCTAATATACTCACAGCTTTTTTCTTAATTAGTACATGTCAAACTCTAACAGTACTCCGTGGAGTTAACAGCCATGGCGATGCACATAAATGCAGATCATATTGTGGAAACTTAACAGTAGATTACCCTTTCGCAGTTCAATCTGGCTGCGGCCATTCCGGTTACAGAGATCTCCTATTTTGCATCAACGATGTTCTAATGCTTCACATTAGCTCTGGATCCTATCGCGTATTGGACATTGATTACGCTTACGAATCCCTAACCTTAGACGATCCTCACATGTCAACTTGCTCGTCGATAGTATTCGGTCATCGCGGCAACGGCTTCGTCGTTGAGCGGTGGCGGGAGCCGTATTTGAACCCTACGGCGGATAATGTGTTCATGCTGCTAGGTTGTACGGCGGAATCGCCGCTGTTCCAAGGGTTTCCGGGGAAGCATTTGCCGTGCCGGAATGTTTCCGGGATGGGCTGTGAGGAGTATTATGGATGTCCGGGCTGGGATATTATTGGGCCGAAAAAAGTGGGGGTAGTGTATGGATCAGGTCCACCTGATTGTTGTGCAGTTTCGTTTGAAGCTATTAAGGCTATTAATTTGACTAAACTTAGCTGTCAAGGGTATAGTAGTGCTTATAGTTTAGCTCCATTGAGAGTGGATGGACCTCATGGATGGTCTTATGGCATAAGAGTCAAGTATTCAGTTGAAGGAGATGACTCATTTTGTAAAGCTTGTGAGGCAACAGGAGGATCTTGTGGCTATGATGTTAATGATTTTAGCAGTTTGTGTATGTGCGGATCATGGAATTCTACTTCCAATTGTGATTCAGGTGATTCATCATACTACTCCCTTTATTTAATCTATATGGAACTTTTTGCTTCTCGAGAGTCAAACTATTACTCGAAGTTTTGCATCACACATGTTTAACATTATGTGCAGTCCATTCAGCTTCGCACAGAAGAACTTGGTCGTTAATGGATGCACTAACAGGTATGGTATACGCTAACAAATGTTAAATATTTGAAAACAGATTTAGTTTGTTAACATGAATCCTGCTCTGATAACATGTAGGACTCGTTGGATGTATTTCCATCTGGAAGCTCTCCGCCACACTTGGACTATAGGGAAAAAGTCGTTTTCTAGTGTTTGATTGATCCAGAGAAGAAGACGAAGAGACTTAGTTCAAATGTGTGTACCAGAAGAACATATAAGTGCAACTTATATCAATGTTGCATCATCTAAAGTTTTGTTTGAAGAATGAAGAAATTGATTGTATTTTAGTAATTGTTATGTATGTACACGTATAGAGACTACTTGATTCTTCAAGTTACTGTATGATTTAAGATTTTGCAACTAAATATAAACCTGCTTATATTCTTATTAACTTAATTAAGTGGTGAAAATTGACATGCTAAATTGTGTAGATTTCGAAGTTTTAATTTCTTTTGGAGTGGTAACTGTCTAATAACATGAGGATGATAAAATAGAAAAAACGCCAGAAACTATCAATAGTAGTTCCCACATCTCCACACCGGTCCATTTTCGTAATCAACACATCCTTTCTTAAGGTCTGACAAAATGGCCAAAGCAGCCCAAAGATTTGGCATGAAAAGAGGCACTGGTTGTTCATTCAGAAGGTCAGTCTAGATGAGATGAGTCCTCTTGGTATTGTTCCCTGTTACTGTATCTGTTCTCTGTTTTTCAGAGGGTGAAGGAATCAGCTCTTATTGTTGGTCCACTTTCTGCTTGAAAGTTGATGGAAAGTACCACATTGAACATGTTACAGGTTCCAAATTTGTGGAAGATTGAGAAATTGTTATATATTTGAAATCAAAGCGAAGACACTTGAATCAACTTTGAATTTTTAAAATGAACAATGGTTACATCAATGGTTCATTTACAACTAGTCGGGCGTACCACTCATATAGAGGTCGTAATTGTTTAAAACATAGTCACAATCATGGTTAAACAAGAACATGCAGCATTATAAATAGCGTAAATAAAGGAAGGTGTCTAACTCAATATAGAGTTGGTGTGACCCAAGTTGGAGGACTAATACAACTGAGGGAAACACCGTTGTAATGCGGCTGGATGCTGCCATCTGCTAAGCTGAACACCCCCATGTCCAACCCTCCTCCTCCTCCTTCAAGGGTTAGGTATGATCCAAAATAATGATCTGTGAAATAAATATGATTGGACTTGATTCCTGGAAATTGAGAAGCTTGGACTGAAATAGAAGGGCATTATAACCCACAAAAAATGCTAATTCACTGGTTTCTGTCCCTTTGCCAGAAGCTAAATCAATCTGGAAAACACGAAATTCTATTTTGAGCTCTTCATAGGTATGTGGAATATTTAGATGGAGTCCCTTGCGCGAAACTACAAATAATGATATCCTAGTGATTCTAGGATGTACAGTTCTCCTGCAACAACTCCATGTTCGAATGGTATCTCAGCAACCATATGACTTGTAGTGGATTGAGGGCCAGCAACATCATAAACTATGATATGGCCTAAACGATCTACTCCATAAAGGTAGCCATTGAAATATACCAAATCACGACCACCACGCGCAAAACGTGGCGAGTGAGTGCCTTGATCCAAGACAATCCTGTTCCATCTCAAATCTCCTCGTCTCCAAAACTTGATATAACCTCAATCAATGACCATGAGAATGTAGTCGGATGCATGAGAAGGACTAGCTGACAGAACTGCTTTCTTAAAAAAGGTACATGGGATTCTGCTCCGACGTCCATTGTTATCTGCGGTAGAGTTCTGATGGGGCAATTCGATCTGAACACCGGAAAAGGGATGTAATAGACTAACTTCACCATTATCTTGTCCGACTGTAATAAGCCAACCCAGAGACTCCATACATAGTTTTCTACTAGCTTTCGGGATCCTCTTCTTCAGAATCATGCCATTACAGAGACTGAAGAATTTTCGACCATCCTCCTCCTCTTCTTCAGCTAACATCAGCCATGGAACTCTAGGCAGGTCACTGTTAAAATTGTTCTTAGTAGCTGCAGAGTGCCAGGATTTGCAGACAGTACGGAAGATGGAGTAATCTTCAATCAGATTCAGACGCCTAGCTATGAGAGCAAGCAACTCATGTTGAAGTTGAGACCAATCAGGCATATTTTGTGCCATTGCCGAAAACTATTTCAAGTAATCAAGTTGAAGGAAGAAACCCTACATGCTCCGATTTAGACTCAAACATCATTCTTTTTGACTTTTCATATATAACACAAATAGTCCCTTATATTTACAAATTAGCGAAGTTTTACCCTCCAGAGAACATTATTTACATAAATAGATAAGAAGGCTAGAAGATACTATTTAAAAAGTTGTTTTATAGCTATAAAAAAAATTGTGAAAATTGTGGAGAACACAAACTAAGGAAGGTAATTAAATCAAATAACCTCCTTTCAGTTATTCTCTTTAAAGGACAAACTCTCCGTAAGTTTGCTATACCAGGTCCCGCCATTTTGTATAAAAAAAATTATGCAAAACAAAATCCTCTTTTCCCTTTTTTCTGTGCTTTAAATACAATTTCCTCTTCTTCCTTCAATTTCTCCATAATTGTAATTTCAAACTATCAACTTCTACTATCACACACGTCATTGCGTTTTCTCAAACTATTTCAAAAATTTCAAGGTACTACCTAAAACTCATCTCACATTATCATTTTTTGTTCATTTTTTTTAATTTCTTAAAACTACCTTTTCATTTCAGTTGTTAATTCCTTCAGAATTTTGGTTCAATCAATGGATGCTCAAACTCCATCAAAAAGATTCACAAGAGGTATACCATTGCATGTTGAAATTGATGTTGAACACCCATCATTTTCATTGGGTCTAACTCAGGAATTTGGGGAAATTTCAGGTTTATTGTGTAAATCTACTACCATTGAAGAGATAAGATCCAAATTCAATAATGATCCAAGTAGATTTATTGATGGAGGTGTGAAGAATCTGTCGATGTGGTTACTGGGTCAAGCAAGAAAAGGAAACATAAAGCTGATGTTTATACCGTTCATAATGATAAAAATGAAGTTGTTGATTCTGGGTCAATCGAACATCATAGGTATAATCATTGTTCTTGTATATGTTTAAATTTTATATTATATGTTTTGTTTTTGTGTTGAATCATGTCTTATACAATTGTAATTGTATAAATGTATAATCTATATTAGTATATGTTTTTGTGTTTTTGTTGATTCATGTCTTATATAATACTGTTTGTATAAAATGTATAATAAATTTTTGTATCTGTTTATGTGCTTATACAATTATAGTTGTATAAATGTGTAATTTAATTTATATTAGTATATGTTTTGTGTTTCTGTTGATTCATGCCTTATACAATACTATTTGTATAAATGTATATTAAATTCTTGTATCTGTTTCTGTGCTTATACAATTGTTCTTGTATAAATGTTATCTTAATATCTGCTTTATATTCATATTTTATCTACTTCAATAGCTTGATCAATTTTTTGAATTGTCTATAATGGAGCTATTACGAGTGAAGGTTTAAAAGAAATGAAACTAAAAACTGAGTTCGCGTGAATTATCGGATCTTTTTCTTATTTATCTGCCACCTATTTATTTATTTTTTTTAAAATTGAATTGTATAAAAGCAAGATATTTGTTAACTGTTTTACACAAAAAGTCACCCGTAGCAAATTTTTAATTTGTTACGGAATACAATTTTGAATAGTTTGCTATAGCCTACAATTGTCAATTTTTTCTTTGCTATATATAAAATTTGCCCCAAAAAATTTATCTTATTTATCAAATTACTATATCAAAATTTATTTTATATAAATAACCTTATAATAAAAAAAAATCGTAAACATAATGAATCTTTCGTCTCAAAAAGAAAAGACAAGTTTGAGGATGGATCAGTACTTCACAAATACAATCATCATGGATGATTAGTGCTGCATGGGGATGAACAAGAACATCTTTGAGTCTAGACGCAAAGATAAAATTATGTGCTTTGTCGAAATTATAAGATTTGATTCTAGAAAGCTATAGAAAAATACTATTCAACTAATCATATCATATATATATATATATATATGATATACCATTACTTGCAATTTTTGCTAACTTTTACAATTCTCAATAATTTGGTCATCATAAGCAAAAAAAAATAAAAATTGATATCTATTTATTTAATATTAAAAAGGAATATCACAAACCTGGTATATATAAAAATTGGAAGATTTTAAGTTTAAAATTAAATTACGAAAATATTTTTTACTTATTATTTTATTAAAATTACATATTACAATTTATCATTTTTTATTATTTGATGACTTTAATTATTATTATTTTTTAATTATATTAGATAACCGTTTCGTCAAATAAATCCAAAGACCGCTAATGTTTTCGGTTTAACAAAACTCAACTTCTTGTAGTCAAGCCATACAATTTTTTTTTTCATTGTGAGCAACTAAGTAGTTGAGAAGGGGGACCAATAGCTAAAAAAAGGTGAAAAAGGGAAGTGACATAATAAGTTATGTTAAATGATATCATAATTGCTCGTCAGTTATATTTTTATTAATTATTGTGCTAATAAATAAAAAAATAATGAAGAGTTATATTAACTTATAAATATACGATAAAAAGTCCAATAGAGGAGTTAATAGCAACCATTTGGATTCAACTATCTCTTGCCTACCATGAAAATTTAGTATAAAATGCATATATTTTATTTAGAGATTAAAGATTCTTTTTTATTCTTTCTTAATTGGTTTATGTTATTATTTTTCATTTCAGATCGTATAAGTTCTCAAATTGAAACAACAAATTTAATTTTCACCAAATTTTTCCTATCATCATTTATTTATTATGATGATCTAATTTACTTTAAATATTCACATTCATGAATTATATCTAATTACTTGTCAATCAATTTCTTAATATTTATAAATTGGATTTTTTTTTATAATCATAACCTCCAAATGTCTAATTTGAAACTTTAAAATATCTTTTCGTATTCTAGCACTTTTATCTATATAAATTCATATATATTTTTTTGTTTTTTGAGACCTCCACCAAAATTATCCCTTATCATTATATTATCAAATTAGTGAAGCACTTATATTTAATTTTGTAATATTTGATTCATTCTTTAATTTTATTCAATCAAGAAGATTTTACAATTTTGATTGATTATGAAAGTCGCTGACAAATTTTTTTAAAAAATATGTATTGATTTTGTATTTCGTTTTCCTCTATATTGTTATGATTAAAGTTTAAGAAATGATGTGTGTTGTATATTTTTCTTCTTTATTCATTTTATGTGTTTTTTCTATATATATTAGACTTCTTTAATTTAATTTTCTTGAATTTTTTGTTTTCATAAGTCCGTATTATTTTTTTTGGGGTTCTGTTAGCCATTTGTGACATAATTGAAAATTTATTAACTACTAAACAAAGTTCAAAATTTATAAATATTGTTGTTGTCACCCTTTTGGAAATTTATTTGTAATTGTTATTTTATTACTAATTATATATTTTCATATATACTTAATTGTTGTAATGAATCTATAAAAATTTGCGTGGATCACACGTACAGTACAACGTAACGTATGTACTCAGAAACTAATTATAATATATTTAACATACACTAAACCCTATTTTCTTTCACATCATTATAGTGAGATTAACTATACTAATTTTTTACTTATTTCTTTTCACGAATTTTAAGTTCTACTCGTATGCAAGTTCAGACCATCATCTCCAAAGATATAACAAATATTACTGGTGACATAATATATATATATATATATATATATATATATATAGGATATCAAGTAAAATAAATAGAACACGTGTATCTATTTATTTAAATTTATATAATGTTTCAGTTTAAGGACACATCTATCTGGTTGTTTAAATTTAGACAAATTTATACATATTCAGTTGGAGCGAATAAATATGAAATAAGGTCATATTAAAAGAGTACATTCATGTGATATATGTCTTTTTAAAATATCAAAACACAACTGAACTTCATTTGTAGAAGAAGAATTTTATAAATGTGAATTAACGCTAGTCTTTTTTCATTTTACTCATCAATGCCTCACTAAAAGATAACTATTCGCTTTTCATGCTTGTTCATTCCTAATCTTGTTATAATCCAAAATAACATATATTTTGACAATCTCATTATATATCTTCAATAATTCCTCTAGAAATTTGGAGATGTTGCTATATATATATATATATATATATATATATATATAAATTATTTTTTTCATAAAAAAAGCAGTGTCAAGCGATATTTCATAATTTTTTTAAAATATATCCTTTTCTAATCAGTAATCACTAGTACTTTTCCTTTTGTCTAAACTCAAAAAAAAAACTAATTTTAATGCTATTCTCAATCTGTGGAAAATTATTTAATGTTTAAGATGTTATCTTATTTAGGTTCAGTTCAACTCTATTCTATTTAGCTCATCTTTCATATATTCATTAGTTTCATTATTAAAATTTTTTGTGGCTCTAATCCTTTTAAGATTATCCTCAACTTCTTTCTCATAGTCGTTTTAACATTCTCAAAATTTCTCCAATGATCTAAATTTTTCAAAACTTTTTGTGAAATTAAAAAAGTGCTTGTTCTTAAATTCACAAGGCTCCAAATTTTAATGTGGTTATTATGTAAATGTGTGCTTCAAGTTTTAACGGTTTTGGAAGCATTTCATCTACAATGGTGTACCTAACAAAAATATTATATTTTCTCCTTATTATTAAGTATTACATGTAATCAAAATATTATAATCTCTCAGTGATTATATAAAACATGATCAGTGCAAAACATAAGAATTTTGTTAAGCATCTTTAAAAATATAGCATTTTTAGATGTATTTGACATGTGTGATGATACACCAATAAATTATTGTCATTTTACTTTTGAAATTCTTAACTGGCATAGTGTTTCAATGTTATAATTCTATTTTATTTGTAAAGATATAACTTAAAAATTCAAAAGTTACTAATGACGAGCTTGTGACAATCTATTTCAATGACCAATGGATCTAAAGATACACTAAATTCTCATATTATTTTATTTTTATTTTTTAAATTATATTTTATCTATGAAGTTATAAAACAAAAATTCAAATATAGTCATTCTTGAATTTCTATTTCTTAATTATACTTTATATCCATGATATTATTATTATTATAACACATAAAATAAAATATGTAACTTCATGATGAACATTTACTAATAGTAATAATTATTTATATCCTTTAGAGTTATTACAAGTTAATAAGATGCTAATTATGTGTTTGTGAAATGCTACCTTAGATCTTATTACGAAATATATTAATTAAAGTAATATGAAAATTTGATTAATTTTATTTGTAGTTCTAAAATAGTAGACAAAATTAAATTGAAGCACTAAAATATTAGACAAAGTTATATACCAAACTCAATAAGTTAAAATGAAAAATTGGAAACTTAAAAGCTGATACATTGTATTGGTAATTGCAAGGTCAAAAATATTTGAGCGCCTTAAATCCTCAAACCGGTTAACAAGTTCTTTCATGTTTAAATTAGCTCGTGTGCAAGTTCCGATCATCTTCTCCATTGTGAATTTGTAAAGGAAGAAATAAATACAGAAGTGACGAATTTACTCTTGCCGGAAACAGAACTGCATCTGTAACGCGAATCTACAATATATACTTCCCAAAGGAACAGATGGCAAGTAAAAAATAGAAAATAGTACTAAAAGAAAATGTTCAGAAAAAGGAACTTGAAATCCAGCGTCTTATTAAACAACCCCAACTAGAGGAGAGGAGGCAGTTAAGTTACAGAACTCTCAACTTCATTTGACTACTAGAGTGCATAGATGAGTTCTAGACTTTGGCAGGATTGTTGGGAATAGCAGCGGCGTCCTTCAGCATGGGAAGTAGCTTTCCCTGTTGATGCTTCTCTAATACGCCTACACGACAAGAAACAAATGTCAGCTGCTGCAGGCAAGTTTTAAGGAAAAAATATGAAAGATAAAAGAGGATAAGTTGATGATTCTTACTGTCGCAGCCACCAACATGTTCTCCCCCAATAAACACGTTAGGCACAGTCCTCTGCTTAGTCCATTCTAGTAATGCTGCTTGAACCTCATCTCCATCACCTTCAGATTACAAAGAGAACTCTCATAATTATAATATATGCTCCAAGAAACAAGAATGGGAGAAACGAACCAAGCATAGCCTTTTTGAGCAACAGTAGGGGGTTCAGGAACTCTTTGAGCAAAGATAAACAAAGCCACAAAGTTCGAGATGTATCTATTAGAATACATGAGAAACCAAACATGTTATAGCAACACAGATCTCTCGATCAACCTAGTTCTAGTGCTTCTATGTACTTCCAGAACCAAATTCATCTTTTTGTATAATTGTAAGGTGAGGTCAGCTTGCATGCACCTCACCACAACTATTCAGGTGCATAATTCATACTCAATCAATATCTGATGCCCCTCACCAACCTAGGTCTTAGGTCTGTCCACCAAGACTTAGGTAGGTTCGGGCAAATGGCATTGTGAACAAACTATTAACAATGTCAAGAAGAGTTCTGAATTTTGTTATTTCTACTAAAACTGTTTACAGCTCACACCAAAATTATCTTTTGAATATTGTGGTGTTAGACATCTATCGTTCTCTGTCATCCTTATAAGGGACTGTAATTAGGGGGGTAAATGAGAATGTTGAACTAAATAAAGGAAAGAGACATCTTTCTGATATAGATCAAAAAATAAGAAGGTAAGACACATTAGTTGAAATAGAGGGAGTACTTTTTTGTCTGTTGAAATTCAAACCTTGCTTCATAATCCCAAAAATACCTACTGGCTACTATAATGAATCAGCACGCACATTCTATAAAACGTAATAGTCTTCCTTTGAGTATTGAAACAATCACCTAAATAGAAATTCTCAAAGTTCCTTTTTTGTTGCTGAATGTCAATCTTTCTATATAAAAGAATATGACCAAAGCAAAAGAGGATTTTTTTTGCTTCATGAGAATAAAACTACATCTAGGTAAGAAAACACATTTTTTGCAGCAAGGAGGTGGAATAAGGTTTATATAAAGCACTTGGAAACAATTGATATGCGGAGTCACTCACTTTCCCGGTCAAGTTCAATAACTTTAAAAGTAGCACCAAGCTGGGAAAGAAGTTTCTTCACCCTTGTGCAATATCCGCAGTATGTTTTACTGCATGAAGAAAAGCAAGCATATGGCGTTAATAAACATAAATCTACCGGCCGGGTTTACACATGAAAACTTACAAGCTTCTCATAAAAGGTGTATCATCAATCTCTATACTGAGACATGGATTCCATCAACTAACTAATTATTTCACCAATATATATTATTATCATCCAATCTACCAGGCATATTGACCCATCTCAGAATCTTACCTTTTAATAAACCAAAATGATAATTAATATATACAGATCATAATCGTTATATCAAGATTAAGAATATAAGTACATTTAATAGTTTAGAGAATATGTTTTTATCAGTCAGTCTAAAACAACTATCTTTGCTTGGTCCCGTTCAATACATACCAAATGCACTAGCACGAGAAGTTAGAACTATGCCACCATGTCAAATGAGAGACAGGGAGCTCATTCAGAACAATTACATGTTTGGTGAAGGTTAAAGAAATGACTTGCAACCTTATATAATGAAGACATATCCTGATATTACCGTACTTGGAACAACTATCATGACAGATTGCCGAGAGAAGAAAATGTTACAACAATATTCTTTAACAAAACTTGACATCTATCGCCCCGGTCCACCGTGTTTCTATTCCCAATGGTGGCACCAGGAATTTATGACGCTGTAACCTAAAACAACTTTTGAATCCCCTTCGCCACTACACTAGAATCCTCCCTCTCTCATGTGAGGGAGATTCAAACAACCAAAATCAAAAATCTTGAACCCCTTTGCCACTACACTAGAATCCCCTCTGACGTAAGGGAGATTCAAACAAACAAAAACCATATTTTTTGAACCCTTTGCCACTACACTAGAATTGGAAGAACCAAAAATCAGTATTTTTAAACCCCTTTGCCACTACACTAGAATCCCCTCTCATGTGAGAGGGACCCAAACAAACAAACATCCGCCTTTGCGACTACACTAGAATCCCCTCTCATCTGAGGGAGATTCAAAACAACCAAAGATCATAATTTTTGAACCCCTTTGCCACTACATCAGAATCCTCACTTCAGTGGGGAGTTTCAAACAACTAAAAAAAAAATCGTTTTTCCTATATTTGCCAGTGTTATTTTTCCACAAAGGGCATTCAATTGAACCCTAGCTCTACATAGCTTTGAGTTTAGGATTGGAAGACTCACATCTCATCTTGAATTACAAAACCAAAACTAGACAAAATTGAAAGCTCTTAACATCACCAACCTTTGCGATAATTAAGAATTAACCAAATTACACGAAACCCATTCATATTCCCCAATAAACATAAAACCCAAGTAAAAAAAAATCCTCTTTTTACAAACATGAACAAATTAGAAATGAAAAACCCAGAAAATTAGGTAGTGAGACTGAAACGGAGAGAGGAATATAGACCTGAATACGACAACAGGATTAGAGGAAACGATCTGCTTGGCTTTGGTAAGAGCGGCCTCCATTTGTTCTTTGCTAAACTGAGGTGAACTGAACATTGATCCCATTGCCTCCTTCCTTTATTAACACAATCAAAGATGGCCGAATAAGCTTAACAGGTGTTTGAAGCTGGGTTCTGCAGGTGGCTTCTGCTCTCTTGTATTGACTTTTTAATCAACAAAAGGGAGATGGCTCATATTCTCATCAATTGCGTTTATTTTATGCACTTTCACAATCCAATTGGCTAAGATTCATCGTCCTAATTTTTTTGTGCACTTTCAAAAGTCAAATCTTCTTTGATAGTCGTATCCTGTGTGTATAAAAAAATGCTGTATTGATAATGACTAATGTATAAATTATCTTGTATGCAACGTATGATTTGATGTTTAAAAATTAATATATAAATCTAATGCAGGCAAATAATATATCATACTAAATGTAGCTAATATTTCGAAAAGTAAAATTTTATATTAGTTACAAATAATTTTTGAGTTAATTAAATATATAATGAAAAATTCATGGAATGAAAATAATTTATAGTTCATTACAATATTTTAAACCTTTTGCAAAAGTTTTACTTTTCATGTAATCGATCTTGCGGACAGGGGGAATATACTTGCATGTTTCTCTTTTGATTGGCCAAATTTAGTTTTCATAGTATATGAAGCATATTCCCTCTTTTTATTGTTTCAAGGACATAAACAACATGCATTTATATTTAAGAGCTATATAACATGAACCTGCTAAAAACATAAGAACAGATACCAGTCAAGCAGTGGCAGATCCAATCCAACATATAAATACATGATAAGCTCAGGTACAACTTATTATATGTATACTTCATCCTTTCTTTTTTTTTTTTTTTTGCATACAAATACATTGTTACATAGTTCGAACTAAAAGCAAAGGGTTCAGTTGAATTCACAGAATCCGCTTCAGATCCACCTTTCTAGTCCAGTAACCAGTAAAGCCAGAATATTAGTCTCATGAACTCCATATTGTTGTATGAATAAGAGAGGTCTATGACTTGGAAGCAAAAATAGCTTCTAAATCTTTGTACAATCCTCTTGGTTTTGACTTGAAATCTGCTGATGAATCTTTAGATGAGCTCCCACTTCTCTTAGGGTTCCAGAATCCACTCCATCTAACACGACTTGTTGACGGATCACTTGTAGTTACATTACTATCTTTACTAAAGCTGGACTTTGCTAGTTCTCTGAATTGCCTAGTGAATGGTCTATCAGTACCTGAGCTTCTACTACCAGAACTCCGATTCCTGTCACAAGACGAAGTAACATCCCCGGTTTCCTTCAGTACACGATCTAACAGTGCAGACCCACTTTCAAGCTTTCTGATCAATCTTTGAGGAATGAAAAACAAGAGGAATCCAATAGATGCTGCTTTCAGACCAGAGCAGAAAGACTTGTCTTCAGCACCGAGTCTCTTTGTCTGTCTGTATAATGCATACCATTCATTTACAAGCTGAGCTAAAAATGCTATGAAAAACAGTGCAATCATGGTGATACCGATTGCTGTCTCATTTCTGGACGAATTTCTTCCTATGAGAGCAATGCACGCAGCGAAAATACCTGTTTCGCAGGCAACAGAGATGATCTCAACAAGCTGAACCTTTTTTTTAATGAAAGGCTTCTTCAGAAGCATGAAGAATAGCTGGAAAGAAGTGATGGTAAGCAGGACAACTATGGGAGATTTTGAAGACAAACTCTTCAAATAAGTACCAGCCACAATTCCAAGACAAACACGCTTCACAAATTCAAGAAATGTGAAGTATATTCTTAGAATCCCAAACAGCTTCTGGATGAAAGGTGCTTCCGCATCTTCCGTCTCATCATCTGTTGCAATGACTTTGTCAGGATGCTTGTTAGGATTTCCTACTGCAATCTGAGAGAGCATATACTTTGGTGGACCCCTTAGATCCTCAAACAGAGGCCCAAACATGACTACATATCTAGAATCACGCGAATTTCTCCATGTCCACTGACCTCTTTTACCAGGACCTAGGGTAACTCGGACTAATTCTTCATACCAATGGAATTTCTGCCCTACTTGGTGTACCTCCTTATACTGAAGTAGCTTCCCTAATGTTATTCCAATAGAGAGGAACAAAAACAATTGTAGCAATAGAAATGATACTAATCCCAACAGCAAAATGCCAACAGCAATTCCTGCAGATGATCCTCCTAGAAGAAAAGAAGAACAGAATTTGTGAATACAATTAGAATAATAATTCAGGTACTGGAATCTTGACTCGTTGTGACGAAATATCTGCAAATCACGATCTTTCAGCGATGTCAGTTCTAATTGATGTAATGCATGGAACCTTGACCTCATCAATATAAAATTTAAGGAAAGTGAGGTTTAACTGTTATGATATATATTCTGTATTTGAGATCAGTCATTACAGATGTATCCTATCATTTTTAGATGTGAAAACCACTGGTGTAATGCATTCATTGCAATTGAAAAGGAGCATAGTGCATAAGGATTAGAAATACCTTTAACTACGTTTACCGAGGCTTTGCAAATGCAAGGTATAGCTAGAATTGTAAGAAAGATCTCAAATCTTGGAAAAACCAAGGCCCCATAGCTCCACTTTTTCTCTCTGTCCTTTCTCAGTCTTAGAACAAAAAGGACCAAAGCATGCAACAATATCAAGCTGCCCCCAATAACAGCTAACCAAAACATGCTTCTGTTGAAATCCCTCCACCTGAAAACATCAGATGCACACATGCTAAATCTCCGATCTTTTGCTTATAAGCTTGAGAAAAATATTTCAGGTACATGCTTGATCATCCTTTTTTTTTCTTACTAAACGTAAGCTCCAATAGCTGAAGCATGGTTATTACGTCTTACTTTGTACATTTAATTGTGTGCCAAAGCAGTCATGGAGTGGTCTAGCATGATAAAATTGACATGTTGTCAACGTTTATTTCTCTTTAAGAGGGTTGAATTGTGACAGCCAAAGTTCTGTTTTCACCTGGTTTGAAGGTTGTGTGATTTACTAGCAGTAATCCTGATCTTTACTGCATGTTACTTAAGTGTTGAAAAAGAGGAAACCAGTTGAAAGTACACCTCAGACACAAAGATTCATCGTGCTGTTATCGAATGAATTGAAAAGGTAAACATCCTTTGACCACTTCAAAATATTGTGACATGAGACATCTTTCAGAACTTACCCATTAGAATATTTTGGATCCACGATATACTGAGCTTCCGGAAGAAGATCCTGGCTCTGCCATTGAGAAGAACATTCTATAACATGATCATGGAGAAAATATTTAAGTTATTGTGAAGTTTATAAATTCTTACCCCGAAGATTGATCTATATTCCATAGGACTAAGCGGCAACCCATATAATGCTGCAGCTTTGTTAACATTGTATTTGCCAGGCTTCATTCCAAAATCATTGATTTTAGAGCTGTATGAATGAGGGTCTGTTGTTGAACCCGGTCCCATCATAAATTGATGCATGCTTCCCATTTCCCATGGGAGACTGAAGTAGGGAACACTCCATTGCAGGCCTCTAGCAAATTCATAGTATTCAACTGGCAAGGTAATTGGCAACCATCTCGTTAACGCAAAAAACTGGATGTGACAAGCTATTCTCTGTTTCAAGACACAAAAAGAAAGCATGTGTATTCAGAATATAATGTCATGGATCAAAGAACTTTGTAAATTTCAAATTAGCTCAAAGGATATAAGATACTTGAACATTTAAAAAAAAATGTGTTTGCTAACCAAATGCTCATCTCATGGTTGCTTGCAAGAATAAATCTCAGAAATGGATAAAATGAAAATGCACCTGGACTTAACTCAATGCCAAAAGCTAGCGCATGAGGTGAGGATAGCCCAAGACCATATAAGGAAACAACAAATCATTTCCTCTACCAATGTGGGACACTTAATACGCCCTCTCGCATGCCAGAATTGGACATCTGGAGCATGGACAACATAGCATGGAGACCCAACACTGGGACACACAATAGCAACAATGAGTCTGACTTTGATACCGTGTTAAGAAATAGACCTGGGCCTAACTAAACCCCAAAAGTTAGCTCACAAGGTAGGATTATCCAATATTATGTAAGGAGAGAACAACTCGTTTCCTCTGCCAAACAACGTCATGTCCTTCACTAAGAGACTTAAGATTTCTAAAATTCATAGCCTGCCCCGTGCATCTAACGACCAAAGCAGTACCACATGGAATGCAAACTGTATTGCATGACAGTCATCAAGTCTAACATAAAGTTGTTAAAGAAAGGATATTTACAAAAAGATTTCTAGCAGGATCAGATGTCATTAAAGAGCTTGGTCTTGAGTATGCACCAACAGATTGGAGGCTTGCGGTTGAAACTGTGAGGAGCCCTGCTGCAAAAGACGTAACCACGAAAGCAGAAGTTGCCAAGATGGAAAGCACTTCAGATGTTACTGGTACAGTATCTGTAAAAGATTAAAGGAGATTGATTGTATACTTGAGCAATTAAAGTATCTCTAAAGCAAGAGAAAGTCAGCTTGAGCAGAAATATAGAATATTACAGTGCTTGAGCCGGAGAACATTAGATTGTAGGTTCATGTTTCCAGCAACATCACCAGTTACATTTTCGGGGATGCTCACAGAAACAAAATCATCTCTGGCTTGTATATTGACAGTGTACATGCTTCTACTCATTTCTTGAAAGCTGGAAATACATAAGAAACGCTAACTCCATGAGCCATGACTAGTACATGATAGTAATGATGTTATTCTTTTGTGACTTAACAGGAAAATATTTTCATCCAGGAAGATTGGCGTAAGTGGAGATGCTAACCTCTGCAACTGCCCTCCAGATATGGATACATGAGAACTATTAAAGCCAAACACTGGCTTAACAAACTTTATCAGTACAGGAATTTGCTCATCACAGGTCCTCATCCTAGATGTTGTGCTCAACCTGACAGCAGGCCGTTGCATATCTGAAGGACGTACCAATAAACAATTATATTCTGGAGAAATGGAAAAACTAGCGTATCATAAATCATCAGGACAATTAAATATCATCTACATGTCAATACAGCAGGTGAGCAGTGGATATGCTCCTTTATTATTTAGACGTTTCTTCTTTAATAAGTTTCTAACAGGCAGTCAAACATACCGTATAGAAAAGTAACAGGAGCTACAGGAGCAATAGGGGTTCCCTGCCAGCTCAATATTAAGTCTGATCTTACGCTCAATGTCACTATGGCTGTCTGTGATATACCTCTAACCTGGAAATGTGCCGA